TTGTTTCATTGATTGCCAGGATATCAATTTCAAGGGTGTATTGGATGCTGTGTGATGGAGGTGAGCCCAACCGCACCTTCATGAAAATGCTATTTGGTGGCGAAGATCCTATCAAAAATAGATCCGTAATAACAAAAGTGCACACAAACAAGAAGCTGGCTATAATATCAGACTGTAAGGTGAGGTAGAAAATACGTAAATCATTATTTTGCAGTGTATTTAATAGTACTGGTTCAAATCACTTGGTAGTGTAAAGTAGCAAGAAACATGTTTCATACAAGRCAAAATTTTTAGTTTCATCATTCATGATTTAAAATGTTGATCAAGGAGGATGTATTGTGTTTTTTTAGGGTTGAGGCTTACAGCTGTTCCAATCTGACAATTTTTTGAGGGGATGTTCATTAAATATTTATGCAAAAATGACAGGGCAGAAAATAGTATTGTAAAACAAATTAAAGTACCCATGTGGTTCCCTCATCTACCTCTAGTGCATGTATCCATAAGTATCATAATTATAATCTTTCCAGCATAACTTTAAAAAGATCAGAAATAACCTTGAAAAGAGCAGAATGGACAGAAAAGGTACTCGACAACTATCAAACAATGGTATTCCCATTATATTTGACCTATGGAGAGAGGCTTTTCAATGGGACCCAGATAAACACACCTTAAAACTCCATCATMAGCTGACAGATTCACATTTTAGCCTTGACAGCAGCTCCAGGATGCGAAACTGTCTTGCTAACCAGCCATGCAGACCAAAGTATCCTCGTGGGCAAAGAAGTTTTGTCTTACCTAGGAAGATGGAAAGCAAACACGACCGATCAGAAGCAATTTTTCTCTGAAACACTTTGGTTCGATTGACAAGCAATGGTGTACGCCTTTGAGCAGGCAGTTAAAATCAAGCTTGAGGCCTTTCCCTGCTCAGCTATAAAACCTGTTTATGTCAACCAAGACGTTGTTGAGAAAGTCTTCTGCCAAATAAGAGGAAGTTTTGGGCAGAATGCTCATCCCAACTATTATACTTATAGTGGCGCCCTCACCTCTATCAACATGGGACAAACACTGATAAGTAGAAAAGGGAATACCAGTGGAGACAAGAGATCATTACCCCAATCTTTCCTGCCGGAGCTACATCCTTTCAAGAAAAGAGAACTTCCGGTAAAGGTCAAAAAGAAGAGCGACTGCTGAGCGACRAGCGGTCCTGGACACCTGGCACCATCAGTACTCGCGAAGTGAAAGCGAGACTAGTTCCATTCAAGGTCACTCACATGCGGCCATATGCATTTTAAAAAGAAGTTCACATATTTTAGGTGTTCATGGTTTTGTTAGTTTGACTGTAAAGAAGTTCAGAAGTCGAGTAAACAGAATCACTAGATAACAAGGCAGCCTGCTGTCAAATGGTAAGGATATAATATAGTCGTTTAGCAGTATATATATGAATACAGCACATCCATGATAATTCATGAAATATATTTGCCGGAATAGGTCATTATTGTATTCACATCACTGAAAGTGCAGTAAATCTGAAAGCTTACAAAAGATTATTAACTTACTTGTGGCGGGAAATCCTGATCCCAATAGAATTGCTAACATTTTCAGAGACTACATCTTCATAAATCAAAAGAGGAAAAGGCATTTTCCTGGAATGTTGAATTAATAGACATAAAAGGCCTGCAATAGTTGGTTTGTTCATTGATGACCTAACACGCACCCCATATGTCTTACAAAGAGACAATAACTCTGCTTTTTTGTAAATTGTCCATAGGACTGCTTCACCAAATTGCGTGATTAGGTTTTGCAGCTTGATATGACTACTTATCCTTCCTTCAGATGGGTGAGACCTTATTTCTTGTAGTGGAACCTTAGCTTCTTTCTTTTTCTTTTTTTCCTTCCTAATCATGACCTGGCCTGTGGGCCATGTTTTTTTTCAAAGCAATGCTGCTCTTGAAGTCTTTTTATTATTTTTTTCCTGGTTTTGGCACTTGCTGTGGCTGTCAAGCACAGTATTGGAGCTTTCACAATGGCTCGAATATTTCCAACATGTGAATAAGCCACACGAAATGGTCATTTTCCTGACCCTGCAGTTCCCCTTTAAAGCAAAATAAAACAGCAAGTCATTAATGAATGATATAATGGATCGAAATGTAAGATTTTTGTTTTATTAAATGATTCCGACTTAGCTAGTATAGTATTCAACAATCAGATATTTGGCTAATAAATACATATTTTGCCAAAGAAGTTCGGCTTAGCACATACTAAATAATATAAAGAATTCATTATTAGCTTACCAATTAACTACACAATGCGATTCATCGACCACGACTCCAACTATGCGCTTCTCGAAACTTTTGATGGTCAACAAACGACCAGCAAGCGTTTCTGGAAATGCGAAGATTATTTCGTCTTCCTCCTTGACTTCTTCGATCTCGTCAAGCTTAGCAGCTTGTAGCCCTAACTTTTGACAAGCAGATATTTGGTCGCTTATCAGTGCCTGGAGTGGAGCTATTACTACCAAGAGAGGATTCGTAGGGTATCAACTATTGTTTGCGGGATCGATTTCTTGTAGATGTTTCACCAACGGAATTACGAGCTGGAAAATATGACTTTCCGTGACCCGTGGGAAGCGTAACGAACGTATCTTTGCCTTCCATGAGGCTTTCGAGAGATTTCCTTTGTTGGAGAGTTGGTTCGAAATGATTCTTACTTAATAAAACGTGCTTTAGAGCGCTTTCGAAATTATACTTGTTTGACATGCTTTCTGCCATTTTGCTTCACGACGCAGGCTCAATTTTGGTCATCGGCCATATCTTTTAATGCAGGCTCAAGCATCAAAACCGGTTTAAACCAGTATGAAACCTGAAATTATGCATCTCATTATCCAGATTCTTGGATAACGGCGCTACAAAAGAAATACACGATTTCTGCAGAGTCTCCTTTCCTTCTCTCGCCCGTAGAGGAGTCAAAAGGAGACTCTGCTCGCAGGGTACATACAACCGTGAAAGAATAGGCAAACTAATAGTTAGTAGTAGAGTCTAAACCCATTGTTCCTTTTGTTCTTTATCAAAAAGTACAAACTAAATGGTCTAAGGACCATGAAATAGCAGCAGTAGCAACAGCAGCAAGAGTAGCAAACCAAGACTGACAACCAATTACACGCACACTTTAGTAACGTTTGGCAATTTGCCAACCATACAATAGGCCTTTTGCAGCTAGAGATCACGTGATTGGATAGCGCATAGCAACGCCATACTGGAGAGCAAGCTCTCCAGTAAACAACAGAGATCTAAAGGTCATACAAGCGTGCTTTCAAACAAAGAATTATAGTTAATACAAGCCCAAGAGCATTCCGTTTCTAGATATTCAGTTAATACAACTCGAACTTGTCTGTAAAGTGAGGGTTCTAAGTGGAATTCGTCGCGGTTTVGAGTGGAGTTCGTCGCTTTTGCGGCCGGCTTCGGCGTCGGAGTAGAAACAAAATGGCTGCTAACGAAGGTATGTCTGAAAAAAACTATCTTTTAAACAAACTAATCGGCGGCTTTTTATGATAAAAAACGAAGAAGTTAACTTCATACTAAAGAGGGTTTAAATGGAAAGAGAAATTCSAGTCCATACCACTGCTATGATTGATATTTTTACTTAAACTTCTGGGTCTTTTCTACGGCTAGGTGATTCAACGAATGAACACAGTCTCACGATGAGATACAGTTTTCTTCCACTTCGAAGCCTAAAAAGAAATCTTGCTACCACTGCTGTGTCCCTCAGTGTAATGGTGATTCAAGATATCACAAAGAGCTGCTGTTTCATCGCATTCCGGGTGGAAAAGAAAGCCAAGAACTTCGCAAACAGTGGTTAGTTAAGATTCGAAGAGACGAAGGACCTTATTTCAAGGTAAGATTTTGAAATAAAAATTTAACTGTCATTATTCATTGGGTTTTACTGCCTCATTTGAGCGTTCAGGCTGCATTTATAGTTACCTTTTCTTTGTTTTATCTAGATAACAAGCAGTACGAGGGTTTGTTCGAGGCATTTTGAAAAGGAAGATTACCTTCCTCCTGACAATGCTGGGAGACGATTGCTTAAAAGAGGATCTATTCCCTCTCAGTTTGACTGGGCAGCAAAACCTGTTAAGAGAAAGAAGATCATTCGTAATGTCAGCAGGTAAGGCCAATATTTTCATTCATAAGTGTACTTATGTGCTTGCCTATAAGTAAAGAATGACTCTTTTATTCTTAGAGAAACACAAACTGACGAGAGTGACATTGATGACAACAATGAAATTTCTGAGGCTAGTGAACCCCAAAGACCAACGGTGCAGGAAGAATTAGAAGCACTCAGACTAGAGCTTTTACAGAAAACAAGAGAACTGGAAAACAGTAGACAAGAAATAGCTGCTGCATTGGAACAAGTCAAGGCAGTGAAGGCACAAGCTGAAGTAGAAATTCAGAATGCTAAGCTAGTTGCTGCTAAGCAGCTTGCTAYATACAAGTTTGGAGTAGAAAAGTTTTCTACAGATAATGATGCAATAAGGTTTTATACAGGTTTTCCATCCTATGAGCACAATTTTTTTTTTTGATTTTGTTAAACCAACTGCAGAGAGAATGATTTATTGCTATGCTACAGGTGAGAGGGAGAGCCGCCCAGGGGCACGAAATATGCTAGTCATAGATGAACTGTTTATGTTTTTAGTAAGACTTAGACTACGTTTATTTGCGCAAGACCTTGCTCATAGATTCCAAATCCATGTTTCTTCTGTCAGTAGGAAAATAACTTCATGGTAATTATTTATATTTTATGTTGGGGAACCAACCATTGTGGCCTTCAAGGGARGCGGTCGATCAGTACATGCCTGAATGTTTTACCAGACTATATCCAACGACTAGAGTAATCATAGACTGTACTGAGATTTTTGTTCAGACCCCTAGTTCATTACTTCTGCAATCTCAGTTATATTCTTCCTATAAGAGCAATACCACCCTGAAAGGTTTGGTTGGGATAACTCCTTATGGGGCAGTTTCCTTTGTTTCTGGGTTATATACTGTAGCAATATCTGATAAGGAAATCACTAGGTGTTGTGGTATTTTGGATTTGCTAGAAATGGGAGATTCAGTTATGGCAGACAAAGGTTTTGATGTAGAGGACCTTTTATTTGAAAAGGGAGTAGAGCTCAATATTCCTCCTTTCTTAGAGAGTCAAGCTCAGTTTTCAACAAAGGAGGTACAAAAAACCAAAGCAATAGCTAGTGTTCGAATTCATGTTGAAAGRGCCATCAGGAGAATAAAGGAATATCATTTTTTTGATTCTGATGTTCCACTTAATGCATTAGGATCAATCAACCAACTGTACACAGTGGCATGTCTTCTAACAAATTTCCAAGGCCCCTTAATAGCTAATGGCAATAATGGGAATCAACAGTAACTGGTAATAGCTATTTGGGAATAGAAATCACATTAAACCCATGAAATGGTACTAGTCTAATAAATACTTATTCCTTGAGAATTTTTTATTTTCTATTGCAGTTATTTTTTCATATTTTCTGCAACATTTGTATAGTAAAATACCATTTTTTATGGGTTTACTGTGGTAACTATAATAAATCAACTTATTAGTCACTTTCAAATGCAATGTGGAAATCCTTTCCGGTATTTACAATCTCTTTAGGATATTATTTTAAACATTGGTTTTCAGTGTTCAAAGAAATGATATTATTTTAAAAAGTGTTGAAAATAAAAACTATCAACCTTGTCTTTTGCTTCTTGAAAAAAATCTTTGTCAAAAAGAATTCTGTTGCAAACAAAAAGATTGTCACTTATGTAACTAAAAAAATCACACCATTCAAGGCCAGTCAGGGCTAGCTGGCACTGTACTTGATAATAGTAGATATCAGTTTTCTTTAAAGAGTATTCATTGGTGATAGGATCATAATACCAAAATAAACGTAATATCAGTAGTTGGACTCGACAATACACGCAGCTTTCACTACTAGTTTACTAGAAAAGAGTAACTACAAGACCAACTCAGGAAAATAACGAGGCAGTTTTTTTAAACTTATATCCTCGATAAAGTTACAAGAATGTTTTAGTATGTTACCATATTCAAAGACTTCATTGAGGACGAAATTGAAGACTAAAAGTGGATACTTCTGAACCTAAATGTATCAACATGACAGTTGTATCGAACTGCAGATGATGACTCGTTTTCGAAGGCATGTTTATCAAGATTATTTGGATTTCTTTTTTTGGACGTATAGTCTGGCAGCAAGTGTAGTCCCGTGGATTTCAGGCTGCAAACAAATCACCTATCTAAATATGTTGAGGTGACCTTAAATGACATGAAACATTTTGGTGGCATTTCTGTAACTTGTACTGAGCCGTGTTAGGGGGATTTTAAAAAGTGACTTCAAATCCCAACATGGAAAGGAGGCTCTGCCTTAAAAATGGCCATATCTTTCCGCCATTTCAACAAAATAGCACCAAAATTATACAGATGTTTCTGAATGAGCTAGTTGATATTATATCATAAAAGCGCATCTGCATGATCACGTGACAAAGCTAGCATGGAAGCGAGGCTCTCATAATACGATTGTATTACTTTGCTTTCTGTTTCAGGGAAATTGCTCTAAAGTTGCAGGGAATACGATTAAAACTGATCAGGACATATCTTCTATATTACATGCTAGAAATTACTTTAGCAGGAGTGAACACGTGAATCAAATGACGTCATACTTTAATTTTGATTGGCATGTTATTTCAGAACAAAAGGATTGATTATATTAATCCTATCTATAAATAAATTTGTAAAAATACATTTTTATGTTCTACTTCATTACAAATGTGCAAGTCTATTACAAATGTGCCGTCTACAATGTTACAAGAGTTGTTTCAAGAACCCAAGCCCAGCATATGCATTCTTAAGCTACGTATGGGACCAGAATACAATGATAAATTTTCATCTAATATTTTAATATGATTGACAAGGGCCTCCAACACAGGGCGAAATGACAACTTTATTCCCCTTTAATATTCAGGCTTAATATGATTAAAGGCACATTTCTACCTTTAAGCTATCGAATACAGGTAATTAAAGGCGCATTGCCTTTACAAATGTTTTATGGTGTCTTAATGTCGTGTTAAGCGTAAGTCACCTTTAATCAATGTCAAAGGTAGTATATTAAAGGTAGATAAAGGTTATGGTTGGATTTATATACCTTTAATGTGGCGTGGTAAACGTGGATAAAGTTATGTTCCTATTTAAACAACTTTGTAGTTAGAGATTAAAGGGAAGGAAAGGTGTATTGGGGAATCTTTGCAATTAAAGCGCAACTAAAGCTATGTAAAGGAATGCGTTTTGCAGAGCAATTGATGATGTGTCAATTCTTTTTTTCTAATTTCTATGAGCTTAGATGCCCTCTAATTTAATGATATGCTTTTTAAGCCTGGACCCTTACAGAAAAACAAAATAAAAACTGTAAAACGACTCCGAGAAGACGAAAACAGCCCTGTCGTTCCCAAGGTACTTAGTAAACAAACATTGGACGCCGCTATTAACTGCGTCTACTTACTTTGTACGTAGCACTTTCAGCATCATATTTTGTAATTATTACATCGTACAAGCGCCATGACAGGCCTTAATGCTAACTCTGGCTATGTTAATTTTTCTCATTGCAATGAGAACGTTTCGGCATCGACGTATAGACAACACATGAACTCGTTTAGTTTCTCAAGGAAAGCTACTGGTTTTAACAAATATTCGAAAGTTGAACCGCTTGAAGAAACTTCATCGTCTGATTCTGAAGGCGAATCGCCGCGAGGTTCGTATTTGTGTAATATATTTAACTAAATTTACTATTCTTACATACGAACTMTTTGTAGGCTTAAGTATTTTCTTGGTGTAAAGCTAACGCCCATAAATTTGCTAAAGGTGGTTTTCAACAATCAGAACCGAGTGATCATGAGTTTGAAGCTGAATAAGTGAATAGAATAATAAAAGAAAACACAACACTCCTAGCTGTGTAAAAATATAATATGATTTGGCTATCCTCAGCTATTTTGTAATCTAATACTCTTTATAAAAAATGAAAATCGTCAAGGAAATTGCATAGTATAATGTATTTGTGAGAGAAAAATATTAAGAAAAAATTTATTAAAAAATATTAAGAAAATATAAATGTCTGTAAAKGATTTTTGCTCCTGGCCAATATTAGTGAGTGAGAAATTAAACAATCCGATAACTTTTATTTTCCAAGATGATGAAGACATAACATTTACAGAGAGTGATATTAGTCAGGATGAAAGTGAAAATGATGGAAGTGAAGGAGATGAAGAATCTGATTGTAATGAAATTTAGGGTGACACCCTAGAATCACTAATAAACCAAGATATTGAAACGGCACCACCACAAACCAGAACCAACGAGAAAAAAGTTGTCATGCTGTGCATTCCCTTCTATATTGGGTGTTCTCACTTGGCAAAGCTATAGCCACCTGAGTGGTAATGGCCTCATATGGCTCTTGAGATTTTTTCTCCAGTTTTTTAAAGCTCTCAATCTTCACATCTGAAATGAAATCTTAACAGAAATAATTGCATTACTCCCTTGCTCCTTGCATATGGTTCGACAATATTTGAGTTTGAATAGAGATAATTTTACCAAGTATGTTGTGTGCCCAAAGTGTACAAAATGCTACAAATATGATGAATGTTTGACTTCTGCCAATGGTACACTAGTTGGGAAAACCTGAATATAACAAGTCCTATTGAAGAGTCTCCAGACATGTGGTAGCCCATTGGTTAAGAAAGTGACACTAAAAAATAATGCAGTAAAGTTTYAAACAAGGGAGCACGGCAAATGCACGCAAGCGCGCGGTTTTGAAAAGTTGGGTTTCCTGTGGTGATGGCGTAATTTGACACAGGAAGACCGTTATAGCAGTTGTCGCGCTTTGGTTGGGCTTTGGTATATCATATAAATATACACGGGGAGTGAAACTCAGGTCATGTGATCATGTCTCGGCCAATGAACCCCAGACAATGTTCCAACAGTCATCTCACATGCTCATCACGGTGTTTTTGGACAGCTGTGTATACATTACCGTAATGTTGCATAACTAATGAGATAATTATTAAAATTTGCATTTAAAATTCAAGAATTAGATAAATCACAATTCGTGAAAATAACAATAAAAGATTTTTTTTWAAATTAAACTAAGCGATTTAAAATATAGCAAAACAAGTTTTTAATTCATCAAAATCATCAAACTTACAAGTGTGGCCGCAAATGTTCCGAAACAGTCTCTGATTGGTCCATTTTTCCCCTTTTCGCAAAAACGCTCGGCCAAATCCAAAATGACTACACACCAATTACATGGTAAAAAAATTGTCTTTCAGTCCTTTTTTTAAGTCTTGCATAAATTAACTTTCCTTCCACAATCCACGTCAGATCACTAGGGACASTGTCCCTAGTGATCTGACGCGGATGGTCGAAAGTTTGTAAGAGTTTCACTCCCCGTTTAACTTATGTGTAGCGCCATATTGGATTGAGCCCGCACTATTTTTTTCGAAAAACCGCATTCGTCATCACCACAGGAAGCCCATTTTTTACCACAGGAAACCCAATATATGAAAGCCGCGCGCTTGCGCACATTTGCCGTGCTCCCTTGTTTTACCCTCTACATTACTACTGTTATAATGGTATAATAAATCCCTTAGAAGAATTAGTAAAGAAAAGTGGATTCCCTAATAAATGTGAAGAATGGAGAGCTTGTCAGCCTACAGGTACAGTAATGACA